CTATCAGTTTAGGAGTTTCTAATAAATTTTTGAATATTTTTGTTATACAAGTATTAACAAATTCTTTAACAACTTTTATAAAAGCTTCTTCATCAACATCTTTGAATAGTTTTTTAATAAAATTTTCATGAAAATCAAAAACATTTTTAAACAATCTATAAATAAAATCATTTAAAACAGATTGGAAATTTAATTGTTGTACCTTATAATTAAAATGTTTACTAAAAAACTGTAAATGATAATTTGCATCATCTAGTTTCATTAAGAGTTCGGGATTTACACAAACCATTATTTTATAAATTTCAAAATCATCTTTATCAAAAGAATATTCTTTTCTAGATAAAACACTTGATAATTCTAAATTGAGTTTAGCAATAAAATATAGAATATCTTTTTCTTCTATAATTAATCTTTTAGTCCAATGAAGTTTTTCTGAATTCAATGTATTATTTAGTATAATAGACCAGAAAGATCTTTCATGACTTAAAATATTTAAAAATTATTATTTATCAATCTTAATTTTCTACTTACATGAATAATATCTTTTTTATTAAAATAACATTTAAGTAAGTTAAAACTGTAAAATTAAAAGTCATTTTATTGATTTGATAATTTTATAAATTAAAAAGATATTTTTTTAAACAAAATTAAGAAAAATTAACAAAACTTTTTTTAAATAGTACGTGTTTTATGAAAGCTTATTAATATAAATATCGTTGAGTCTTCATTAATGAATAAATGTTAAATAGTGACTTTCTAATAAATTAAATAATTTTTTTAATAAATGAATTTCAAAAAACTTATTTTATATTTTTATTACTTTAATTTCATTTTTAGTGATCTTTATCTTTTAAATTTTTATGATAACTATAACTTTAGGTTTTTATTTAGATATTTTAAAAACCTTTATTACTGGTTTATTTTGTGAAATTATTATAAAACGATTTTCTAATAAATTTTTAATGATTAAAAAGTATTTTGTTTACGTTTGAAAAATACAAAGTTTAATTTTATTAAAATTTGTAAATAAAAATTAGTAAAAGTTGATTATAAAAGGTTATAATAGTAATTAATATTTTAATATTTTAAATTTCACTAAAAAATTTAAATATATTTACATCTGAAATCTCAGACAAATTTTTATCTTTAATTTCAAATAACTGTTCTTTAAATCCTAAAAATTCAACAATTTAGATGATAAGTTAGAGTAAGATTAAGTAGATGTTTTAAATTTATTGAGTCATTCCTTTTCTAAATTAGTTATTTAAAATTTATTGAGTCAATCCTTTTTTAATCTAAGAATTTATAGAACTACTAACATATAATAACTGTAAATACATCATCTTTTAAGGGTAAAAACAATTTTTTACTTAAATAGAAGTTAATTTAAATAAAAACAAATTAATAAAATAAGTAACACATTGTTTCATTTAAAAAGTCTTTTATCAGGACCTTTAAATCCTTTAAATCCGTATAATTTTTTATTTGATTTCATCATTATATTACCAATTAAAGGAAGTAAATAATCATTATTTAAATCTGTCAAACTTAATAAATCAGTTATACTTCCTAAATCTTTCATCTCTACAAAACATGGAATATTACTGTATAGAAACCACAAAGTAGTATTAAATTTATATGAAGTTTTTAAATACTCTTTTTCAAACTCTTCTTTTATAATCACTTCTTGACTATCAAAATCTGAACTTAACTGAAAAGAACTTTCATCACTAAAATCATCATAGATCTTTCTAGACATATTTACATCTATTTCAATCATTTTTATTTTATCAGATGATTGAAGAGTATAATTTAAATTGTCATCATTTTTAACATTGTTTATTAAAATCTCATCTTTTGAAACGTCAATAATATCAATAATATTTAATTTGTTATAAAAAATTCTCCCTAGAAATCTAAACAGGTTAATTTTTAATATTTCATCTTCATCATTTTTATCCCGGTTTACTTTAATTATATTGTATGGTTCTCTCTTTTCAAAATGTTCAATATTACTTTCTATGATAAGATTTTTATCATATTTAATTTTATTAAACTCATATAAATCATTGAGCATAACTACATTTATAACCTTTTTAAGTGGTGCATTAAGAAATCTTATTGATTGTAAATCAATAAACTGGAATGATACTTGATTATTGTTGAGAATTTGAACTATATTCGTTGTTTTACCTGTTTTTGATGGACCATGTAAAATAATTGGATACTTTTCATTAAGAATACACCTCTTTAATTCTCTATATTTGTTTCGATTTATCATTAAAATA